ACGACTTACACATACCCAAAGTTTGTTTTATAGACAAAGTGGTACTCAAAAGGTTTGGAAATGACAAACACCATTTTTCCATCATGTTTTGTTAGGAATTTCCATATGCTAAAAGACAAAAATGGTAAAAAGACTAGAATCCCATCAATCTCCATTCCCAATGCGGCCAACAAGGGCCAGTGCCACTGTTATCACGAACTTCGCAAAAAATGTTAAATCCGATCAAAAAATCGATCGATGACGCAAGAGGGTTATGCAAACAGGCCTGAGGTGAGAATAGATATGAAGAAAAAATTAAAATTTAAAATTTTATGACAGTAGATAAATTACTATACTGTCTTTTAGCAACAGAAATCTCTAATAGAATATGACAAAAGTATTTGTTTGTCATTTTCAAACTTTTTGGGTATTAACTGTTTTATACCAAACTTGGGTAGGTGAAAGTTATTCGGCCTGAAATAAGTTATAAGATGCAGGTTACTTGGTGGTTGAAGTGTGGTAAGATGTTAGAAATAGTGTTGGTGGCCAACTTAATTCAGCATATTATATTATAATATCTGTAATTAAATTAAGCAGATTAATTGTCACAATCTAAAGTCACTGTGCTAAAATCTGAAGTATTTGTCTTATTGAAGATTTTTAGCTTGACTTTTGTGGAAGTATCCTGCAAATCGGCACAGTCCAATTAAATCGGGGTGGTAAAGAAGCTAAGTTATATGATAAATAATTAAAAGGTTGTTGGTGACCATATGTTTTTTTATTAGTCTTACGTCTTTGTCAACCACACGTGTAAAGTACCCAGAATCATATTAATTCTCTTCAATCATTAGCAATGTATTGTTGGTCACCCGCACGAGTGGTTAAGTTTGGCTGCCCTGCCCAGCCCGCCCTTGGTTAGTCCATCTAAACCCATCCTCATTCCTCCACGTATTAACTTACCCCCTTTCTTTACTTTATTACAGTTTTACACTTGTTCCAATAACAATCTCATTTACATTAAAGCCGATAACGACTCTCTCTTTATCTTTATCTTTATCTTTAACTTATTAATTATTTATTTAAATAAACATTTTTAGTAATACATTGTACATGGTTTGACTTGAAAAGTTAAAAGTGGTAATGTGCTAAATGGGTGCGTCTCCCCTGAAGAGCATGTGGATTTGGTGAAGATTGAAAAGATAAGTTGGCAAATGGGGATTCACGAAGGGGGCAATAATGCACGCACGTGGATTGGAATTAAATATATGCCCCATTTTTATAACCGTGGTTATGAGTAATGAGTAATATCCTGTTTTTTTTTCTTGTTTGGGTAAATGTCTTACACCCTTTTCATTTCTTTACAAATATGACCCAAGATTTCCATATTTTCATTTTCTATTAATATCATCTACCTACTACTTTTTTTTTTTATTATTATTATTTTTTTTTTTATAGGTATTTGAGGTATTTAGGTACATATTAGAGTTTGTCTAATCTTCAAGGCCACTGAATACTCTACAAACCCAATAGACTAAGGTAATTGCATAAATATTAGGGGTGTTCAGTTCCAGGTACCCTGTATTTTTTTAAGAAACCGGAACCGACGGTTCCTTGAAATTTGGAACTGGAATTGGAACCTATGGTTCCGATTCCTAGGTACCCAAAACTGGAACATGTAACAACAGTTTCGATTCTGGGTATCCTATAAAATTACAATGACCCCCTAAATTTTTTTTTAAATGGTTAAAAAACCCTTAAAAACTTACAAATATCCCCCCACCTGGAACTTGTTAACAAAAATAAATTACAAATTATAAATCCAAAATTATAAACTCTATTACTTTGTAAAGATAGATTCTCAAAAGTCAAACCAACTTACTTTAAATGTTATGAAATATAAATATAAATGTATTCTCATTACGTTTTCTACAAAAGTTTTTATTAACCTCCTACTCTTTAATTTAATTTTATATTAGTCTTGGTTTCCGGTTCCGATTCCGGTTTCTAACTATAAGAACTGGAACTGAAACAGCACAGTAACGATTCCAAAAATTTGGAACCGGAATCTACCCGTTGACGACCGGTTCCGAGTAGGAACCGGAACCAAACCCTAGGTACTCGCCGGTTCTGGTTCCAATCGGTTCTTTTGAACACCCTTAACAAATATAGTAGATATCTCTTTGTGACTCGAACACAAAACATTCTAGGTATAGCTAATCCCAATTGGTTAAAGGGTTTGTCATCCGGCCACAAGGGGAGGGGTTACCCCTTTTGTTTTGGCTCCCCCCACACAACCAATTCCCATATTAACATTTTACAATCTGATATTCACCTTTCGTTGACTCATTTGAGCACTTTTTAAATGTGAAATTAGTTTATTAGTAAGCATAATAACATGTTTAAAGAGTGAAATGGCCATCCATCAGGCAGCGGGACCATTGTGCACTAAAGGTGGGTTTAAGTACATTAGAAAAGCAGAGAAACAAAGGCTTAGAGATAGAGTAGACTGCGTTTCTGTTGCTTTAAATTATTATTATTTTTCCTCCTACCGTTAAAGGTTTGGTTGTTGGATAACTAGAGACCGTCTAATTGGTATGGTCCTCACTTCTCTCATATTAGTGAACCTAATTGGCCCTTCATGGATTCAATGCAATGCAGAAGAAGATAGCAGAAATATTTTAAAAGGCTCCAAATGGTTTACTGATCTGTGATTTTTGCTTTCAAAATCAACACATAACTACTACTTTATCTCTTTATATTTGAATAGTGGGACCTTGCATTGGTTATGCTTATGCCTTAGATTTCTGCATGATTATAACAGCTCAAATGAGAATGTTCATCAATAATAGCAGCTACTGGTCATAATCATGAATCAATTAAGTGAAATAGTCAAATTTTGCAAATACTATCAAATGGTTTTAGTTGTCATAATAAAAGAAATGTTAACATCCACAAACTACATATCAAATATTAATTTATGTGTCTATCATTAACAACAACCTAGGACTAAGTCAGAAATAAAATGTAAGGGGTCAAAGTTGGAAGAACAATATAATTTTAAATTAAAATAAGTACAAATCAAAGAAAAAAGGGGTTTGTCGACTTAATAAGTAGGAGAAAACTATATTTGTGTAAATAAAGAATTAAAAATTTAAGAAAAAAATTGAAATCTAGGTTGTTGAATCAATTATGGGCAATAGAGAAAGAGCTTGTATGGGAAGTAGATAAAGAGGGGTTTACTTTTGATATCAAAAAAAAAAAAAATGAGAGTTTAACTTATTTGATGGATTGTAGTTTTTTTGTAATTTAATTTTCATTTGGGGTAAATTTATAAAACTTGTCCAAAGAATTTAAACTTAAGGAGGGTCAACTGACGAACAACCTCCCCCCCACCCCCCCCACCCCCCCCCCCCCCCCCCCCCCCGACGGCAGCAAAAAGTTATTAATTTGAAGTCCGGTAGTGGTATAAGGTGAATTCAGAAATTAACAACATTATGAATATATTAAAATGCTTCATAACACCATGCACATTTCTAAAATTATATATAGGATTACCTAAGTTTATGGCTTGATCTCTTTTTTTTTTTTGGTAAGTAATGCTTTATCTCATTGTAAGTTTGTAACCAACCGTATCTCTTTGCCACCCACAATCTTTTAGTTGGTTACTGTAGGACCCAAATTCTGTTTTTGTGCTAAAACTGTCCTGGCATGCTGGATTGGATTTGGATCATATTCTTACTTGTTTAATTACCATCAACTTTCAATGCTTAAATTAAACCTTATAATAAATTTAAAATATTATATTAATGTGATGGTTGGTGTTAAACCTTCAATAATATGATATTTTAGAGTGTGTAAATTAAATATTTCATATTATGAATCATGATGTTATCTCCATGAAACCCCTACATGATGTAGAAACTTTTTGGGCAGGGCTTCTATATATGTTTAGAAGATGCAATGATACAGGGTACTACAGCCACATACTTGACAGTGATGAAGAAAAAGTCAGTAAATATATAAAAAATAATAATCCGTTAAAACGGAAGAAAAAGAGTGCTGAAAAGGGATAACGGATATGAAAGAGAAGTCCCACTGTTAAGACTGTTGAATGAGCGTGGGGGTGGGGCTCTGCTTCTGCATCTGCTTCCGTCCAGTTAGCGTCCCTTGGAGTCGGTCCATTGCTGTTTTTAAGCTACCGCAATTATCACTGTTTGACTTTGACTACTTACAGTGATTATCTTTTAATTTGTAGGTAAATTACTAGTTGGTATGCACAACTTCTTGTTGAAGCCAAAATATTTATAAGTATGTTTAAAGTTTTTTATCTCAAAACTTTTTATATTTCCGTACTATCACCCTCGTGATTATTTACTTATTTTCTTGTGTGATTGGAGCGATGATTTATTCTTCAGTTAAAGCATACATAACTTGTTGCTCATTTAAATTATTGAGGAAGACATTAATATCCATTCGATTAGTGTAGTGAAGTTGTCAAATCTGATCACTCAATTCTACAATGACTCTTTGATTCTTTTCATCCACTTTATTTATAATTTGTAATTCATCGACATCAGATATCCTAATTTTATAATGCTTAAAACAATTGGCAATTGTTTTTGACTTCACATCAATTTAACAATGCATCAACTATGTTTACAATTCATCAAGGACACTGATCTTTGTTGGTTCCAAGACTCGATCTTCTATTCGTTTAAAAAGTAGGCAATTGAAACGCTGAATTGAAATCCTAATACTATTAAAACATGAATTGAAATTCTAATACTGTACTACTAAAATATGAATTATAAAATATGAAATTTTTATAAGTACACCTCTATTATATTATAACTTCTTCATCGTAATAAAATTAATTAGTTTCACCATTATGTCTTATTAAGTTTGGTTTAATGTCTTTTTGTCAGATTTAACAGGGGGCGTGATATTCGTATAATTAATTTAATGAGAAAATTGAAGCTTTATTTGCAAAAACCAGTTTAGTTAAACTTTACGTTGTTTTTGGTTAGAGACAGCTAAAGAAGGTATTTTTATTAGTATAAATACGAAGGAAAGTCCATTGGTTTCAAAATGTTTTTATTTATTTATATATATTAAATTTGGTTTCATCAGAACCATCTTTCATAAACTCCGAAAAGGAACTTCCTTTTCAGTACATGAAGAAGTTGAGAAAAGTAGAAATCTAATTTCGTGTTATCACAAAACATCTAAACAGATTATGGAGAGAGAGACTGAGAGTCAGCCATTCTCCATGTCTGACTCAGACCATATTCTCTTACTTTTATCATCAATTTTAGCTCTTCTTATTATCTTCATTCTAATCAATAGAAAGAAAACCAGATTTAATCTTCCACCGGGCAACATGGGGTGGCCTTTTATTGGAGAAACCATTGGTTATTTGAAGCCTTACTCTGCTATATCAGTAGGCGAATTCATGGAACATCACATAGCAAGGTAAATTAAAATTTTTTGATTCAGCTACAACTACAGAGAGTTCAATCCAATCATGGCATTAACTTACTGTTTTATTTTCAATGATATGCCGCAGGTATGGAAAAATCTACAAGTCAAGTTTGTTTGGCGAGCCGACGATAGTCTCTGCAGATGCCGGGCTGAATAGATTCATATTTCAAAACGAAGGGAAATTGTTTGAATGCAGCTATCCAAGAAGCATAGGTGGAATTCTCGGAAAATGGTCTATGTTGGTTCTCGTTGGAGACATGCATAGAGACATGAGAATTATATCTCTCAACTTCTTGAGCCACGCCAGGTTAAGGACTCATCTATTGAGAGAAGTGGAGAACCATACCTTTCTTGTTTTGAATGCATGGAAGGATAATTCTGTACTTTCTGCTCAAGATGAAGCCAAGAAGGTTAACTACTTTTCCAAAGTTCGAATTTGAATTCATGAAGTATTTTTTAAAATTAGCTTAATAACTTTTAAGAAGATGGGTATTGCAGTTCACTTTCAATTTGATGGCGAAACATATTATGAGCATGGACCCTGGCAAACCTGAGACTGAGCGGTTAAAAAGAGAATATGTTACTTTCATGAAAGGAGTTGTATCGGCACCTTTAAATTTGCCTGGATGTGCATACAGAAAGGCCTTACAGGTAATTCATCACTACTGTACATAATGAATTAATTGATCCCGGAACCTCATTAATTACCTATTTAGTAAATAGTTTCATCTTGTTTGGTTACTTTGGCTGTTCTGTTTGGCAGTCTCGATCAACCATCCTGAAATTTATTGAGGAAAAAATGAAAGAGAGAATCCAAAAAATGGAGGATGGACAAGACGACATGGAGCAAGATGATCTTCTAGGGTGGGTTTTGAAGCATTCGAATCTTTCAACAGAGCAAATTCTTGACTTGGTACTAAGTTTGCTCTTTGCCGGCCATGAAACTTCATCAGTTGCAATAACTTTATCTATCTACTTCTTGCAAGGTTCCCCTGCAGCTGTTAAACAGTTACAGGTAATTCAGCATAACAGATTACATGTATACTTGATTAATTTTTTTGATCATATATATACATATATGTATAATTAATACTTGTTTGTTTTCTTCACAGGAAGAACACCTTCAGATTGCCAGAGCCAAGAAGCAATCAGGAGAGAAGGAGTTGAACTGGGAAGACTACAAGAAAATGGAATTCACCCAATGTGTAAGTTGTATTAATTTAATTAATTAAATATTATTATGTAGATATAAATGAAATAAAGAGTGAATTTTTATCCTCTTTGTAAAGGTTGTGAGTGAGACACTTAGACTTGGAAATGTTGTAAGATTTCTCCACAGAAAGGCTCTGAAAGACGTACGGTACAAAGGTAAAGACATATATATAATTAATCAGGCGTCGGTTTGAAGGTAAAATTGTGTGTTAAATTAATTAAATATTATATTATAGGTTATGACATTCCGAGTGGGTGGAAAGTACTTCCAGTATTAGCAGCAGTGCACTTGGATTCTTCTCATTTTGACCACCCCCAACACTTCAATCCATGGAGATGGCAGCAGCAGGTTAGTCAGTTTTTAACTCTTTACTTTTTCATTTTCAAACTACACAGTACACTCCCTGCAATTGGATTTATTAGAACGTGTAAAAAATGCCTCTTTCACGCAATAAAGCACGTTATAAAAATCTTATTGATATGGTTTTTTTAAAAGTTTGTAATAGTTGGAAAACTTATAAACAAATATCCATGAAATTTATATTATACGAACTTAAAAAAAGAAACATATCATAGTAGCAATAATAATCATAAGATCCTTTCTTCAGTTTATACTTTACGTTTAATTATTTATTTCAATTCATTATATAGTTGTCAAAAAAATGATCATAACAGTAGATAACTGTCCCTACCTTAAGTCGATTCATATTGAATTTTATAGAAGGCGAGTAAAATTATCATATATTATAGACTATAGTTGAAGATTTTATATGCTAGTGTTTGGGAGGTGATGTTCCATCTAGGCCGTTTGTCTCGTCGCATCAGGAAAACGCAAGAAATTTAACATAGAACGATAATCGGACGGTTCTCCCATGCCCATCAGAAGTTGGTGTTATGATCGGAGGACAGATGTTGCATACTGTACGGAAGTAAGTAGGACCCACAAAAAAAACCTCTGTCGTGCGCGTGGGGAGGTGTGGGGGTATTGAGATAATTAAAGGCCATGTGAGTGTGGGGTTTCTTACAGTTCTCACATGCACGTGCATCTGTACTTTTCTCATTGGATTAATTACAAAACTGGTCCAAACAAAATCTTGTTAAAACTTACACTACGGTTAAAAAATTAAACGGCAAACTATATAAGTCAGACAGTGACAATTGCTTGGAAACTGACCATGAAACAAGATATTATACATGTCTTATAAAAGGGTATAATTTTTTGTTATGGCGGTGCAGCAAAACAGTGGAAGTAGCGGGGCAACAAACAATTATTTCATGCCATTTGGTGGAGGACCTCGGCTCTGCGCTGGATCAGAACTAGCAAAACTGGAAATGGCTGTTTTTATCCACCATTTGGTTCTGAATTACCATTGGGAATTAGCTGAACCGGATCAAGCATTTGCTTTCCCTTTTGTGGACTTTCCAAAAGGCTTACCCATCAGAGTTAAGCACCAGCCTTTGTTATAATTAATTCATGCTCATGCTCATGCTCATGCATGCATGAATTAATTTCAAAAAAGAGACCTCTCTCTCTCTCTCTCTCTCTCTCTCTCAACCTTTCATGTTATATACATATACAGGATCTGCCAGAAATCTATCGTTTTCACGTGAAGATCTTGAGTATCTCGGATTTTCCAACTTGTTAATGTAGGTCGATCTTATTATATAGCTCACATCAATCAAGGGAAGACAAAAAAAATTGAACAAATAGACATCGTTAGGACCACATTTTCCTCAACCCCCATGTTGTAAATTGTATAATCTTACTCTGGTCCTGCCATGTTGGGACTAGGTACTAAATTATTCATTTACATGGTGTATTATTACCGTATATGTTTTGTATTTTTCTTGTTCAATTATTTTTAATTTAACTTAAATATTTGTATTTTCAGTAAAATCATTGAGTCCAAAAACAAGATTAGTTTTAGAGTTAATAAATTTAATATAAAGCTACCTCTAAGTAGTTTAGCGGTTCGTTTGAGACTCTTAGATGTATTACTCAAAAAATCTTGAGTTCGAATCCTTAAAACTACCAATAAGGGGTAGTCATTGAATGTTTATCTGATTGTTAATTTCAGAGCTCTGGATGACTAGTTAAGGTATGCGCAAATTGGTTCGAATACTCTGAATACCAAAAATAAAAAAAAATAAAAAATTAATATAGCATAATCTAATTAGTGTCATTGCCCTTAATAATTACAAAGTCACATGTGACATCGAATATAGCTTCTGTAAAACGTGATACAAGGTGTTGGAAATATGGAATGATGACAGTGATTGGATAAAGTTTTCATTTATCGAAAAAACCAATACACATATATGTAAGTGAAAAATGGAGAATTTTCCTAATCATAAAATAATATACTTAATTAAGAAATGTGTGAAATCAAAGGTGGATGAATATTTACGTGGATGATATTTCGTTATCCTGGATTATCTGAATGGTCTGTGTGGGGACTGATTGCGCTGGCTTATTAAGAGGCTGTGAACATTACTTGATTAGGGATACCGTTAAACCCTCCTGTAACTTTCTGGGAAAGTGATGCTTTCTGGATCCAGGGGTGTGGAGATGCAAGAATTTAACGACAAAGAAAAGGCTGTTTTGTCGTCTGTCCCGTTTCTCTCCCTTTGCAAAAATTTTCTCAGCAATTTTGTTTATGCTACGTGCCAACCAATCCATATCTTCCATTATTTAAGGGACCATCTACTCATAACTATTTGTCCTCTACCACAACTGCCTCATCCTGAAGTATAACCTTCTTATTTTATGACTTGGTTGTTCGTAGAGTTAATGACTTTTTTTCATCCAAATAATGACTTAATGACCTGTTTTTACTTATTTTTAAAATATTATTTTATTATCTAAATTTATATTTTAATAGTGAACAAATAACAAATTTGATTCAGACTGTTGGGGATTTATGAAGAGGGGAGACCGATGAGTTTTTTTATGGTTGAAAGTTGAGTTCTGGTGATTGAGCTTGATCGGAATTTAACTTGAGAGAGACGGCTACACAAATCCTAATTGCTCGATTGCTAGCGATTGGTGAGGTCGACGAGAGTAAGATTTTTGGGGTTTTGATGAATGATGATCGAGGAAGATAATAGTGATGATGTGAGGTCGTAACAATACCATAATCGGAAACATACTATAAATTTAGATAATAAAATGATATTTTAGAAGTCTGTGGATGAAAAAATGTTATTAAACCATTATCTAGGTAGCAAAAAAAAAAAAAAAAAAGTTATACTCTTGTTCATGTACTCTTAATTTGCTTCATTAACCCATCATTGTATTTAGAGACAACAGACAGAACAACCTCTCTTATATAGTAAACCTATCGTACCTAAGAAATCTACCTGAAAAATAAATTTTACCTGAAAATGGACAAAAAAAATTTGGTTCACCAATCCTCTTACTATTATATATGGAATCCCAACACATGCTATAACTTCTTTAATCATTCAAGAAAATATAATATTTGTCCCATTAATCAATCTAGCCGTCATTTTGGAAACATCAATTATTAATATTCAAAGTTTCAAACTACAAAGTCTAGTGGAAGGTTTAATTTAATAACAATTATTTAGCATTGTAAATAGTACTGAGACAAGCTTCTTTACTCCTCAATTAACAATTAATAGGAATGTCTGCCATATTTTTGACCGCATCGATTCTTACAATGGATTTGTCAGCCATTTATAATACTGATACAACAACTTTGTCGAGGCCTTGCATTATTGATAGTGTCAAATGAAAATTAATTGTACATTTTGCGATGTGGAAACCGTGCAAAATCTTATTTTATTTGAATTATAACTATGCATTTGAGCTTGGTTTCTATGATTTTAATGAATGAATTGAATATTTATATTTATTATAACGAGTAAACTATTTTTTCAGTCGTTTAATGATATTTTTTTACTCTTAAACTTTCAAAATACCATTTTATTATCCAAATTTATATTTTGTTTCTGATTTTTGCATCATTGTGACTTTATACCACCATCATTTTCTTCTCTGATCATCACTCATCAAAATCCCTTAAACCCTACTCCCGTCGACTCTACTAATCGAATGATTAGGGTTTACGCAGCCGTCCCTTCTAAATTAATTTCTAATCTATTCCAATCATTAAAATTCAATATTTCACCACCAAATGAGTCATCGGTCTCCCTTATTTAAAAGTCTTAATAGTCTAGACCGAGTTTATTCTTTGTTCATTGTCGAAATATGAACTTGGATAATAAAATAATATTTTAAAAATACGTGGTTGAGAAAGTATTATTAAACTATTATTTGGGTGAGAAAAAAGTTGTTAACTTTTATTATAAAAGGGATTTGATTGGTCTGGTTGGTAGATTTAATTGCTGTACATAGTCTCTGCTTTGTAATAATTGACCATCAACTCAGTTAAAATTAGATATAAGTATTGGGTCGGATCTAATAAGATAGAATTAAATAAAATGATATAATATATTGATTCATACCTATGGTTCTAACCACCAAGCCTAAAACAAAGTGTGTTTTTGTATATGATATGACTGTATCTGTATGTATGGCTGTACCTGTCTCTTGCAAAGTTGACTGCAAGGTAAACACGACATTGAGATGAATGCGTTATTTTTTTTTTATTTCAACTACCAATTAATGGAGTTAACGGTGAGGCCAACAACCAAAGTCGTGGATAACTTAAAAAGAGACCATTATACCTAATTAATTTGAGACTCCTCACTGAGCTAACCATCACCTTCATGTTAGGTTTCCTTTCGCTTTCCAGTTTTCTTTTTTGTTTAGTACTTCTTTCTCAATGATTCATGTGATTCTGTTGACGTATCTATCAAATATATATATTCGATACAAGTACTGCAACAAAAAGATACGAGAAGAAAGGGTAAAAGTTAATTACTTTTTAAGGGGAATAGAAGATTTGTGAAATATATGTGATAAAGGTTTTACGATCATCTCTTTCCATGTGATGTTGGGAGCAACACGTTGTGGATTCAATGTGATGTGGGCTCTTATTTAACGAAACAAGTACTGTTGAGAGCTACTGAACGAAATAAAAATAGTCATCAGTAGGTCCTTTTTCGTTTTTTTTTTTTTTTCAATGTGATTTTAGATATGGAGGTTGAATCCTGCCATCCTATCTGCCTTGAAATGGCCATTTGTCTGTTTAGGCAGCCGACAAAAGGAGCAAACTGGCAAATTCCAGCATTTTGGCAGCTCACCATTTATGGATATCCTTCACAAAACAATATCGCAAATCTGATTATGAAGGCCAATTTGAATTTGGGCCTGATTAGGTTTAGGTGGTCAGAGCTACGTTACGTACCTACCCCTAACCCTCTTTAAGTTTAGCGTAATATAAATGAATGTTACCCAAACTAGTGCTCCTATTATCCGATTTCAATCTCTTTTCTGGTCAAGACTGCCTGTACATTTTTTGGTTAAACCAATTTTCAGCCCAAGCCAAAGTTCCCTAAGCCCAACATATGAATTACCGAACTAGTGCTCCTATTATGCGTTTTTTTTTTTTGGGGGATAAAAAGAGTGTCACAACTAGTTTATGCGTATCTTAATAAATCTTTAAGGTTTATTGAATACGTTACAAGTCTAAAAAATCATATAAATCTTAATGTTATTGTGATAGGTGACCTTAAGATTTAAATCTATAAACTCAAAAAAAAAAGCAAACCTCTTTACTTGGCCCATAGACCAACCCCCTGGGTTCCTATTACATGTTTCAATCTCTTTTTTCGGTTAAGACTACCTGTACATTTTTGGTTAAACCAATTTTCAGCCCAAGCCAGAGCTCCGTAAGCCCAACATATGACGTACCAAAACCGAAGTCCATTTTATATTGAGGCCCGTATTGAGGGGACCCATGGAACAGTCAGTAAACTTTTCCATTACCTTTTTCAGAACTCCAGGATCTTGTGATTTTTTAACAGCAATAGGTTTTTTCATAAAACATTTTTGAATCATCAACCAAATATTTTAAATGTCAATAAGAGTGTATAGAATAACGGAGACCACATTATTCATGCAACAAACTAGCGAGTTAATGTCGCATAGACTAATTATTTGAATAAATATGTCAAATCTCATATTTCTAACAAATTGGGTTTCAGTATAGTTTATAATTTTTAGATCTTCTAAATTAAGTTGACATATTTTAATAAAATATTTTTGATGAAACCTAAAACTAAACCTATGTGAATTGAGTTCAAAACAAATAATATCAGCTAAGTGTTTTATTTGTGAAAAATGCTTTACTAGGGACATAATCTCAACCAAATAGACATGTTTTCACTTACATACAATTTATTAATCAATTGTGATGTGTTTCCTTGCATTATAAACTGTTACTTGTCAATTATTGGAGAAGGTGGGAAATGCTAAACACAAATCATTTTTAGCAACAAATTAATATAAAATTATCTATGAATGATCGAATAGTTCGATGGAGATTCTTTAGTATATTACTTAAAAAATTTTGAGTTTGAGTTTCTCCTCGATTACTAATGATAGTAGCTATTGGAGTTTTTATCTAGTTGGTGATTTCAGGATCTCGAAGATTAATTGAAGTATACATAAATTGATCCAAATATTTCCCACCGTTAAAAAAAAAAAAATTAATATAACATGTTTGTTAACACCTAACGTGTTTCCGAATCTCATTACGCAAAAAACGTACACGGGACTAACTGATTTTGGTTGTCCGTGATGGGCTTTAGGCCACGTAGCCCGAGTCTCCAAATCCGTCGTGGCCCAAAGAGCACCACCACCCAGCATTTTATTCCATGCCACGTGGAATCACTTCGATCTTTAAAACCAACCTAACTTAACAATTTTGATTATCAAGGGAGTTTCACTTTTGACCAATCAATTACCACTTGACCCTCCCTGATTTTGTCTAAAATAGTTTTATATTCTATTACTTTCCTCGTAAATTTTATTGCATGTTTTAGAATCTGAGAATTATTTTGTAAAAAAGAAATGAGAATATTATATTTTATAGAAAAGAATGTTATCATTTTATTGTATTTTATTTATTGAGCAAAAATACTTGTTATAGATGATGATGATGTCATTCATTTAACACTTTATCCTTAGACGAATCATTTACTAGGTTAATGAGTAATTACAAATAGAATAATATTACATTATCCTACTTTAATCGTTTTAAAACCTTCTTTAACTCAATAAGGATGGCATTTCAGTAGTTACCTGCGAATATCAAGGGTAATGAAAAATACCATTCCTCCTTTCTTTTTAACCAGCCTCCCACTTCGCCTGCTCCCATACTAGTCTCTGTCTCTGCGATCTATCAACTATTCCGAACTTGCCTGTAAGAAAACAAAAGACAGAGAAGAGATGTGGCGCTGCGTTTCTCGTGGCCTTCGCTTTCCTTCTCATTCGAAACGGCCGATCTTGAATGACTCTGTTAGATCTCACATTTCCAGATTCTTCTCCTCTCATTCTGTATGCTTCTCTCTCCCGTTTTCTTTTTCACCTTAGGGTTTTCCATTGATTTATCGCTTTTTTTTTCTGTTTCAATTTATATATTTCCTCCTAATTTTATTTATAATTACTGGATGTTATTTTCACGGATTCTAATTGATTATATTATTTTCATTTTCTTTCCAATCATTATCTCGGTTTATTTATTTGTAAATGTTTAGTTTTATTAACGTGTTGTGATTGGTTACCTTTTTTTATGCGGACAGAGTGGAGAATACACCATAGTGGATCATACATATGATGCTGTTGTTATAGGAGCTGGTGGTGCTGGGCTGAGAGCAGCCATAGGACTCTCAGAGCATGGTTTCAACACTGCTTGTATTACCAAGCTGTTCCCAACTCGTTCTCACACTGTTGCAGCTCAGGTATGGCAGATTCATTTAAGTTTTTGCAATGCAACTGATATTGCTTTAGACTTGCGTGTTGATTTTATTAATTTATTTGATTTTCCAAAGTTTGTCATCATATATGAAAGTTTTCTACATTTATCTCGTTATGCGATTTACAAGTGATCAGATTATATGTGGACGTCGACTTGCATCTTCAAGAATTCATTATTCCAATCGAAATTTGTTTAGTTGTATATTTTGGAAGGGTAATATCTGCAGCAATTAAACGTGATGACACACTTATTGTTGTTTTGAAATTCATCAAGTGATTGTTCTCATTGTTCTTCCCAAATGTCATATAATTTGTTCTTTTGGTTTTCTTCCTGGATACTTGGTTGAAGGATTCAGATATGCTGCATAACTTTCATCTTTTGTAATAATTGCGTAAAGAGTTTTATCAATGTAACATTATGATCTCATCTTCATGTCACTAGCTTGTTTTTCCTAAATTAGATAGTTAACTTTATACAGGGTGGTATAAATGCTGCATTGGGAAACATGAGTGAAGATGACTGGAGGTGGCACATGTACGACACAGTCAAGGGCAGTGATTGGTTAGGTATGTCAACTATATAAACTTGAAACGTCTTTTCTGTGCATTTGCTAGGTGACAGGGAAGTTTCAACATTCAAACAATGCAAGATCGTTTCTTTACTGGGTTTTTTTATGTTTTTGTCTGTGCTTTATCCATTTTATTAGCTCCTTGGTAAAGAGAGTAGATGGATATTTTTGTGGTACTGTACCTTCATGGTGGTTTGCTGTTGAATTATAAATATAAAATTGTTAAGTGGAGGAAGCAATATAGATTCTGCGAAGGGCTAAGGACTTGATGTACACATAGATACTTGCTCTTCTTCTAGTATTGGAGTGCATCTGGTGCATTACAGTTCAAATACTACTTTTAATAAATTTTGGCTTGTATGGGTATTAACATGCAAGGGAATTGGCTTTGAACAGGTGATCAGGATGCCATTCAGTATATGTGTAGGGAGGCACCAAAAGCTGTGATTGAGCTTGAGAATTATGGTTTACCATTTTCTCGAACAGAAGATGGAAAAATATACCAGCGTGCATTTGGTGGTCAAAGTCTTGACTTTGGAAAAGGTCAGATGGGCAAATTTGAAGTTGGAATGTCAATAATCAACTCAGATTATATTCATGGATAGCTTTCTAACTTGGATATCTCATTATTGTTATCATGACAGGTGGACAGGCGTACCGTTGTGCATGTGCTGCTGACAGAACTGGTCATGCCTTATTGCACACTCTTTATGGTCAGGCTATGAAACATAATACACAATTCTTTGTGGAATATTTTGCTTTGGATCTTTTGATGAGTAGTGATGGTAAGTTAGTAGCATAGTAAATTAAGTTTGCATCATTAAATCCTTTCTTCTTGTTGTTGGTTTGTAGGGGCTAATAATGGACACTTACCTAAACCAGAAAGCGGAAGCATAACTAATCAATTGTTGCTTACCATTGATATGTGTTGTGCAGGTACCTGCCAAGGAGTAATTGCATTAAATATGGAGGATGGAACACTACATCGGTTCCGTTCTGCTTCAACAATTTTGGCCACAGGGGTACTATACTTGTGAGCAAAGCTTATGTGACTTCAAATTAGCAATATTTTCTATAGCATTCATTTGTATTTCCTTTCAGGGCTATGGTAGAACCTATTTTTCTGCAACCTCTGCCCATACTTGCACAGGAGATGGCAATGCCATGGTTGCACGTGCTGGGGTTCCACTCCAGGTTTGTTTTGCTGCTTCCTGATCTTGAAGTGAGCTCTTTAGACTTGTTTCTTGCCATTATATTTATCTAGAATATATTTTTTTCTTCAGGATTTGGAATTCGTACAATTTCACCCTACTGGCATTTATGGGGCTGGCTGCCTCATTACTGAAGGTTAGTGCATCTAGTTCATATGAAGATGCTATCTTGGTTTTAGGTTACATATATTTCTGTTTCTGATTTTTTAGATTTGAATACTCTTGTTCAGTTGAAGTTGGCAGAAGTTCATCTCTGATTTATCTGTTGTAGGATCTCGAGGTGAAGGTGGTATTCTAAGAAACAGCGAAGGTGAACGGTTTATGGAACGGTATGCCCCTACAGCCAAGGATCTTGCATCAAGAGATGTTGTTTCTAGATCCATGACCATGGAAATCCGAGAAGGTCGTGGCGTAGGTATGAGGCCCTTCTATAATCAAATATTATTTTAATCTTCCAGGCAAAAATGATAATGTTCTGTGCTCATCTGTTTATGGGAAATTGCAGGCTTTCAGCAGTTGAATAATAGATTTGTGATCAAATGAGCATAAATCATTGATAATAACCATAGAATCAGTCTATGAATTTTGGTCATATCATCTTATATTTTCCTGAACTGTAAAAGTTCAAGCGATTCCTAGTCTTATCTCCTTCAATCAATTCTGTCAATAATTGTGTATCTGTGATGCAAGAAATAGCTCAATTTTTGCTGTTAACATATATGCCTCATTTAGAATTATGGTTAAAACTATGACTTTTTTAAATTTTGTGGGGTAACTAGTTTCCCCATTATCTGATTTTCACATCTTCATTGTGTATTATTTAATAAATTTGGTTTTAATATACAACAGGACCTTTGAAGGATCATATCTATCTCCACTTGAATCACTTACCCCCAGATGTACTCAAGGAGAGGCTTCCTGGCATCTCTGAAACTGCTGCTATCTTTGCTGGAGTTGATGTTACAAAGGAGCCCATTCCAGTCTTACCGACTGTGCATTATAATATGGGTGGAATTCCAACTAATCACCATGGGGAGGTATAATTGGAAAGAAAAAATAGCATATATTGGTTTATTTCTCTCAATTAAAGTTTCCAATTTGTATGGTTATAATCCTATTAATTTTTTATGGCAGAGGCTAATATTGTAGTTACCGTTAGATTTAAAGATTCAATTTCTAATATTTAGTAATTTGAGGTTTTACAGTGTTGATTTTTATTTTAAAATAACTCTGCTGTTTGTATTGCAGGTAGTTACTATCAAAGGAAATGACCCAGATGCCGTAATTCCGGGACTAATGGCTGCTGGTGAGGCTGCCTGTGCATCAGTTCATGGTGCCAATCGGCTTGGTGCAAATTCTCTTCTTGACATTGTTGTTTTTGGTCGAGCTTGTGCAAATAGAGTTGCAGAGATCCAGAGACCAGGCAAGTTTAATTCTAGCAGTGGCAGATAATTATTGATGATGTTTGTATGACCAATTAGAGATATTTTTCCCATTTTTGTGCAGGGGATAAACAAAAGCCATTGGAGAATGACGCAGGCCAGAAGACCATTGCCTGGCTAGACAAAATTAGAAATTCAAATGGCTCAATACCAACTTCGAAAATTCGGTTGAATATGCAACGAGTAATGCAGAATAATGCTGCTGTGTTCCGTACACAGGATACATTAGAAGAAGGTATCTTTGATGAATAATTGTTATTCTCCCTTAGACTTTTGTACACTACACATTTCCTCTCTCTTAATAACTCTTTTACCCAGATTATTGTGGGATTAAACATTCCAACTTTGTTAAATGAATTTGAAGACTAGACCTCCCTCGCTTGATTGAGTCTACTTATTGTTGCCTATGCAAAATTGCTTATGGGTTGAACCTACTACTTGTGTCATAACCCTTTAACCATCCCTTACAAACACTGTTTAATTCTTTTTATTTCTGTGTTGCTTCTGCAGGCTGTCAATTGATTGACAAAGCATGGGAGAGTTTTCATGATGTTAAGTTGACAGATCGTAGTTTGATATGGTGACATTTTTTGTGCATGAGAATATTGATGGTTAAATTATTTAGTGTAACTTATTTGCATCATGGTCTTAATTCTAAAATCTTTTGTTTGCTAGGAACTCTGACTTAATAGAGACTATAGAATTGGAGAACCTTTTGATAAATGCATGTATCACCATGCATTCTGCTGAAGCCAGGAAAGAGAGCAGAGGAGCTCATGCACGTGAAGATTTTACGGTCAGTTAGTTTCTTTTTGGCTGACATTGTAGAGTGTCAATTGTTTTTCTGTATAATGAAATTAGCTGCTGTGGCTGTGCAGACAAGAGATGATGTGAACTGGATGAAACACACCTTGGGGTAAGTTACTATCCTCTACTTTGCTTTTAAGAGGCAAAAGCTGATCAGAATAATGTATATGTTGTCATTGTCATGGTATGATTAAAATTGTTGAAACCTCAAGCTTTGATTGGGGTGGTTAAGGACCTTTTGTTTCAAACAGGAGGTCGAAGTTCATTTTTTCTAATTATTAAGGTATTTGTCCAAGTGTATTCATTCTGAAACTGGGTGGTTTTGGGAAAAAAAGGTCAAGAGTATTTATCCGTATGATAGGATAATTAAAATAAATGTTCTAGAGCTTTAGGCAGTAATCTTGAGAAGTTCAGTCAGATTTGGGTGGTATTATTGTATTGGTTCTAGGCTACCGAATTTAATCGCTTACTGCCTTGTGCTGGTTAAAAGAAATACATTTTAATTAATCATTTTAGTCCTACCATTTTTTGTTGAATTCAATTGTAGTAATGTTGTTATGCAAATATGATTGGCAGATATTGGGAGGATGAGAAGGTCCGACTAGATTACAGACCTGTTCACATGAATACATTAGATGATGAGATTGAGACCTTCCCACCTAAAGCTCGTGTATATTGATCCACTGTCCACCCTCTTCCCAAAATAAGAAAAACAGATAAATGAAAGACAGCAATAAGTTGTAATTTGGACAAATAGTTGTTGCATTCATCGGTATTTAACTTCTGGGATTGGAAGTTATTACAGGTATGTTTCTCTACTGAGTAATAAGCTTGATGATTGCCTGAACAACTTCATAGGTGTTTTAAACCCGTTGTTGATTTCAGCGATAATGTCAATTTATAATACATTACGCCTTCTTTTGTTTATTACTTCTGCATACTGCAAGAATGGTTTAGTCTGTAATTGTTTTTGCCTCATTGCTGCCTTTTTTTAACCCTTAATAATGTAGTATTCAGTAACTGTGATCATTTAATAAGCAGATCATTCTCAATAGCTTAGCTGGTTTGATTAAATACATAGTTGTGAATTAGTTCGCATTTCAAACTAATGGAGTAAAATTAGTCTGATAAGATAATGTAACAATATCGCAATAATTTCATACTATTTTGTAAGGGGTTTGTATTTATATTATTACTTTAATGTAATAATTACTTAATTAGGGTAATGTTGTTCTTGAAATGCTTTAATGTTTACATCACTGTTTTAAAACCCGGATTGGAGGGCAATCCGCTCTGCTGCCTGGGTCACGGGTCAATCGGTCCAACTGGTGACATCATCATGCTGACATCAACATTAAAAAAGAATCCTGTTTTTCTAAGAATTTCAGATTTCCATTTTTTAACAACTTTCAAATAACAATCCTAACATAATTTAATAACAATCCAAAGTCCAAATCCAAACATGATGTGTTTATCCATTATATATTAAATGACAAAATACATAATAATTAATAATAAAACTTTTAGTGTAAGTGTTTTTTCTTTGATCCATCTCTATGTTGATTGAGCTTCATACACTAGCATCAAAATTCATCATCATCATTAGAGTCATCATCACCATAATCATCGCTATCATCTGCAAAATGCGTATGAATATTGAATATAACTTAATACAAGTTTTACAACACACTTTCATACAATTTTTACAACACAGTTTCAAGAGCTCTTTGGTATACACGTACATTCATGTAGCTCTCTTTAATATTGTAGAAAATTCTTTTCACGGGCAAAATATTCTAGTATCAATCAAAGATTAAATGAGTAAAAAATAAATGAAATAATAGCTTGATTAGACACAAGCACATTGAATATCTTAAAACCTAGATTTCAACAATCAATTTCATAACAAATTTGTAAATTAATTTGGGTTATTCGCTATTGAGCTACTCCTTGAGCTACTCCTTTGAAGAACAACGCTACAGATGTTTCTCAACCTAGATTTTCCTCATTGACAACAGGAAACTACTAGATCTGCAAAAATTGAAGGGGTCATGACTCATGAAAAACTTACACTTTCTGAAATGGAGTTGTGCTGTTGTCGATTTCCAGCAAGGAATGTCGTCGTCATTGTCTATTTCCAGTGAGGAATAGAGTTGTGCCGCAAATTAAAAAACAGCCCCAATGTCACACTGTTTTCCTCTGATTACAAATTAAATAACCAAAAAAAAAAGTCACATAATGATTAATAACAAAATCATTTGCAGTATAATCAAGAATGAACAACATTTGCAAAATAAAGTTTAACTCTTTGAATACTTTATGCCCAAAAACAACATAAGCACATACACACAAACAATATAACAAACAATAAAAGGGCAATATTCACACAAATAAGCCACCACTCACCAGACCCAACAATCTAAATATCTAATTCGTATCCTCGAAATTCATCTGACCTTGTAAGTTGTAACTTCAGATATTTAGATATTTGCAAAATCTTTTCAGTTGCTTCTGTAATCCATATTCTGTAATCAAATATTTGTAAAGAACAACAAATGAAACAGCTAAAAATGCTAACTAAATGCAGAAGAAGACGAACTTCAGGATAAAGAGCAAAGTAAAAAAGCATTTTAGTTGAAGGAAAAGAGAATAAACCTGCAAAATCAGTGAAGAAGACAAAGAAGTACAGGTTTTGTCCAAGTTTCGCTTGCCATTGAAGTTGAAGAAAATGAAGAAGAATCAATTTAGATCTTCTTTAGACTTTAGACTTTAGAGTTTCTTCACTTTGATCTTTGTTTGAAGTTGAAGAAGATGCAATTTGGAGCGAAATCAGTGAAGGATGAAGCTTGATTGAAACGAAATTCAGAATGAAATAAAGATGCAATTTGGGAATCCGATTGTTTTAGGGTTATTTTATGTTTTAATTAGTGGACCGGTTTAAGCCCCGGTTCGGTCGGACCGGCGGTTTAACACTATTCCGCCGGTTTGTTATCAGTCCAAAGCGGTTTTAAATATATTACCGGTTATATAGTAAACCGGACCGGAGTCATAGCCGGTTCCCGATTGTACTAGTCCAACCGGTCGGTCCGGTCCGATTTTTAAAACAATGATAAGGTAAACATGAATCAAGCATTAAATAAGTATTATTCTATCTAATAGACATGTCTAATGCAAAAGTTATGGGAGACAAATTTAATTTTTACAAACATTTTAAAAATCAATATTTCTTTTATTACTACTAGTAATCTAAGCTAAATAATCCATAATTCTATCAATTATTTCTAATTCTTTTCATATCACTTTTTGCAATTAAATTAATAATGTGGCATGCACAATGTTGGTAAAAAAACTTCAAATTTTCATAAAAAATAAAATTTATTGTAAAAAAATCTATAGTTCAACTATTAACACTTTCATTATCTAAAGTTAAACTTGTCACTTTGTGAACAATATTATAATCTTTTAAAATTTGAACAATTTTATTATAATTTTTTTGACCACTATGATTTACATTCATTAATCTAAATCACAATAAAATTTATTTAATTTATATTCATTATCAAAATGATGACTAGTTACACAAATATAATCTTGTTTAATTCTACCACTCCAAATATCGGCAGTTAGAGCCACACTAACATGATAACTATGTATTTTATTTTTTCATTCTAATTTCATTTTTTCAAACAATTTTATTAAATTATTTCTAGTCGAAGTTTTAGAATAAGTTTTAAATTCTAGAAAAAATGAATTTTTAATAAATCTTTCAAAATATTTATCTTCAGCCATATTAATAGGTTGATCAGTTACAGCAATATATAAAGCTAATTATTCCTTATATACATCAGAATTATAACGTCAAGTATTACCCATACTAGTTATTTGAATTTGATTGGTTTCTCTATTTTCATGATGATTTATATGTTTACTAGCATGCCTTTTTAAAGTACTAGTAACATTACCTGTATCAGCTTTATAAATATTTCCACAATACTTGTATCTTACTTATTTCACTTGAATTTCATTTTCTGTCTTGTAAAACTGTTTGAAATGCACTCAAACAGTTGATGTGTGCTTGTCATCGATTTCAATTGCAATTGATGAACTCGATTCTACTTCAAATGGAGTTGGATGAGAATGACGATTACAAGAACAACCTCTAAAACCACCGAGAGCTATAGCAGCATGGGGAGGAAAGGGGGAAATATTATAAGGTGCATTAGATTTTGAGAATGAGAAAGCGAGACTGTTTGAATTTACTGCATTTATGTTAGTAAATTCATGGGGAGTAGGATAATTTTCTTCATCATCGAAATTGATGGTGAGATAAAAATATCTATCTATTCTATTTTAAAAAAAAAAAATGTATATAAAAGAATTAAAGAAAGAGAATTGGAATTTGGAAATATGAATTAAAAATTGCAAAAACTAATAAAAATTAAAATGAGAGCAAATTGACAACAAAGAGATTGAGAGATTTTTATAGAGAAAATAAGAGAATGAGAGAATTTGGGATGTGAGGAAATATAAGAAGTTTAGGCTTTATTTATAGAGAAAAATGGGAAATGAAAATGACCAAAAAGACCATTTCAACTGTTATAAAATGGCTATATTTGAAAAGTAAAATGGGTTTTTGCAAAAAAAATATTTAATATTTTAATTTTTTTTTGTCCAACCTGTGGGTCAACCTGGCGGGTTGGACGGGTTATTTAAAAAAAAAAAAATGACCCGTCGGATCACTGGGTTGGCCTATGAAAACCTAGCTGTCCGCGCGGGGGATATCCAGGTTGGGTTGAACCTGGCCCACCCTTAAGCCAGCCTAGGTTGGTCCTAGTTTGAGGCAAGTCGGGTTACTGATTATTCTTGTGATTCGAATCTGAGATTACAGAGAGAGCAAACCCATTGGTCCCAAACCTTTACCACCCACCAACCCATTGTTGGTTAATTAATTATATATATTATTTAAAACTAATGAGTAGCTTAATTAATATAGTGAATACAGTATCTCCCACTACCAAGTTAGATTTAAACTTCTTCCAGTGGGAAAACATTGAGAGCCACTGGTGTCTGTGTCGCAGCAGTGAATGTGATGGTCGTAGTCGGCTACCACTCGAAATTCCACTAAATCCAGTATCTTTTCATTACAAGGTTGACAGAAAATACCAGATTTTACTTTCATTTATTCATTTTATGTACTTTTCCAATGCTAGCTAGTGCTTCAACCAACTCTCCAGTCCAGTTCCCTCATGAAAAATGCTCTTATTCGAAACCCACCCACCATCAATTGCCAGCGGAAAGATTCTACTTGGCGTAAAAATTAGAAAGTGTGGCCGATGCCTACCGACCCAATCACTCACTGGTTTTTTTCTTTCCCCCATTATTCTTGTTTATAATTTTTGTATTTCCATACTAGATGTAATAATGACGACACAAAAGAATATTTTTACTAATTTGTAGTTTATTTACTGTTTGTTTAACGGAAAATGATGGAACATTAAGTTTTAAGTACTTGGAAACCAGACAGAAGCATTTGTAAAGTTTGCTTAATGAAAACGAGTAGACAAATGGATCTAAAAATCTTTACTAGATGAATTTTTAAGCCTATATATATAATAATTAATTTATGCACTGCACATACGATATCTAAATTTTGCAGGGACACCATCTGATCATCTAGTAGTTGAACTATAGAATTCCTTTAGATTTAAATATTCAATTTAGTAATTTGAGGTTTTACAGTGCTAATGGATTTGAGAAATCAGCAGTGGACCAGTGGTGTTGATTCTTATTTTATAGTAATTATGCTGTTTGTATTGTAGGTATTTTTTTTTTTTTTTTTTTTGTAAGTATATTAATTGAAAAAGAAAAAGGTTACAGAGTAACATGATCGGCCTAAAGGCCATAGAACACAACAAGGACAACAGAGACACAAAGATCCAAACACAAGAGCCTGCAGGCTCAAACACGGCACAACTGCCTGAAGGAGCACAAAGGCTTGAAAACAAAAGTAGACAGGCACAAACGCCCAAAAAAAAGAACAGAGCACGTAGGCTC